GGAAATTAGGGAAGACTTCACCCTGTGGGATCAGGATAAAAAGATCCCATACTCCTCCCCAGGTAAGGAGGCCTTGTGGCAGATCATGATTGAAAGCTGACGTGGAATGGCAGAAACTGCTGAGAGGCCACCCTTGGAGATTTGTGCCTTCAAAGATAGGTTTCATGAGTCTTACAGAGGAAAAACTCGTCAGCTGGGTTGATTTTGCATGATTATTGAACGAGAACTGGTAGACACGAGCTTCTCAGGTGGCAGTGGCCAGAGCCTCCATCTGTGAGAATCCCCCACTTGAAGTGGTTTCCTGAGAGTGCTCACTCAGCAATGGCTGCGTTTCTCAAGCCCACCTGCGAGGCCTCACTGGACCCTTCCCTCCAAGTGCACTTACTTCTTCATCCCCATGTACATCTCTAACTTTGAAATTGTTTACCTCTCCTAGAAAAATCTTACCTTTTACCCTGAGCAGAGTAGCAAAGCCCTGTTCACTCAGAGGGAGCAGCTGGCATGTTGAAGGGGAAAGGCCAAGCACAGCACTGTCCTCAGACCACCCCATATCTGGAGCAGAATTGTGATACATGTCATCTGTGTCTGTTCTGGAAGATTCTTTGTTCATCATTGTACTCGCATCAGCAGATTTTCAGGGTCCTCCTTGTCACTCCAGGCTACTGAGCTGAACCCTTAGAAGCTGGGGTCTCCGAGCATGCTAAGTAACCTTTTAGGACACGCTGGAGGCAAACTGTGGAATGCTAGCAGGCTTTATGAAAGGAAATATAGGGAGTTTGTGTAGTCGGAACTTGCTTAGATTTGCTTCTGAATCTCAGAGCGGGAGTTTTAAATCATGTAATTAGGCACCATCAACTTTAGCTGGAGAATGGGACTTAAATGTTCACATATATGTATACTTAATTTTCAGCAATTATAGCACAACAAAAAATATGCAAATTTATTGTTTTAGAAGGTGTTGCAGGACTAGGAACGCTTTAGGGTCATCAACAGTAAACCTCAGATACTGTTCTGCATGATTCAGAAGTACCATACCAGGTATTGTGAGTGGCAAGAAGGCCAGGAGACAGAGATGCTTCTGGTAGATGAGGGCCAGAGAAACCAGCTCTCCTCCATTTGACAGCAATTTTTCACTGTGGCCACTTGGACTCCATTATGTTTTGAGAGGAATTTATTGAGATCTTGAGAAATCACCATGATTAGGATGATTGTCAATTAGTATTCAGAAACTAGAAAGGAACAATGAGATACTCATTGTATGGTTCTTTAGGGCATATGTTTGAAAACCCTCTCATCTCAGATCTGTATAGCTGGTATGCGTTTGTGTCCGTAAGTGCACTTGCACTGCCATTGTGCCCATTAAGAAAGGGGGAGTAAGTAAAAGAGGAATCACTCAGATCTTGCCTTGGGTGAACAGCGGTGGTGTGGTTGGTGTGTTGACTGTGAACAGGCTGACTTAGCTGTTGATGCATACTCAACCCCCATCTCCTCCCAGACTCTGCACTTTTCCTTCTCTGCAGTCGGATTCTCTAATGACTGTCACTGGACAAACCCCAGTTTTATGCTTGCTTAGTAAAAATAAGTTTAAACATTTCATGGTGGTTGACAGAGCTTTGTCCCAAAACATGCGGATTCAGATTCTTTAAAACTCGTTGAACATTTATACCAAAGGTCCCGCCCTACAGGTGTGTATGTGGTGCACAGAGAGTGGGGTTTGGAGCATCGGGCACTGTGTGCATTGCTAAGGGGACATAGTGAGACAACGTGGGATTTTAACTAAAAACACATCAGTCGTGGGCCACGCTACCAGTGTTGTCAGGTATTTGTTCTTCATTGTTGTTGTAATATATTTTCCGTTGTTTTTCTAATTTAATTCTCTCCCTCTGTTGTCTGACTGTGAACTGCTAACAGTGTTAAACTTGATGTAAATAAATGAGGCCCTTGAAAGGGACTGCTCTCTCTGTCTTCTCACAAGGTTTGCCAAGTTGTGTTTTGTTTTAAATAAAGGTTGCAATATTTTATTTGCAAAGTAGGCTGGAGATTGGAGTGTTTCTCCCATGATTTCAGTTGACAGGGAATCTAAGCAGCATTTCTTTCTCTCTACGTAATACAGATGTCTATAAGGTAAAGAAGCTGCTTTTAGCAAGCAGCCCTCTGGCACGTTCTTTAGAATGTCCTCTGTGGGGGTGAATACTCATCCGTTGATGGATTACATTTTTGGAAGTGAACAAAAGGCATCATCTGGAGTCCAGGCTGCTGTGCATAAGGTGGGTAATGTGTTTGTATGTGTGTCTTCAACATGAAGCGACTGTCAAGTGAAATTTAATTCTCTCAAAATCCATTCTGAGGACAACTCCAAGTAAGTTCTAAGTGTTTTGAGTCAATGTAGCATTTATAGAGTGGGTGTAGAACCCCACAGGATAACGTTCCATTCTGGTTGATGTGGTCTTCAGTTTTTTATGAATGAGTTACTGCTTTTAGAAGTAACCTTAACTAGGTATGGGTAGAATATACACAAGTTGTGCATACATGAGGCCCAATTAAACTGGCTGGTAAGCAGCAGTTTATACACCTCCTCACATTCCACCTTCAGTCCTTTTCTCCCACTCATTTTTGGTTGTCTAGAAAGTCTTGTTTTTAGAATCTTCCAAGAATCTCTCAATGTGATTTAACTTACAATTTTTTTTTTTTTTTTTTTTGAGATGGAGTTTCCTTTCGTTGCCCAGGCTGGAGTGCAATGGCATGATCTCGGCTCACTGCAACCTCTGCCTCCCGGGTTCAAGCAGTTCTGCTGCCTCAGCCTCCCAAGTAGCTGGGACTACAGGTGCGTGCTACCATGCCCAGCTAATTTTTGTAGTTTTAGTAGAGACAGGCTTTCACCATATTGGCCAGGCTGATCTCAAACTCCTGACCTCAAGTGATCCACCCACCTCGGCCTTCCACAGTGCTGGGATGAGTTCGCCCACTGCCTAGACAGAGCCAGTTTATCAAGACAGAAGAATTGCGATGGTGAAAGAATAATTCACGCAGAGCTGGCTGTGCCAGAGACTGGAGTTTTATTATTACCCAAATCAGTCTCTCAGAAAATGGGGGGGGTCAGAGTTTTTAAGGCTAAGCAGCATTTCTTAATCATGGAGAATCGAAGCTGTTCTCTTCTGCTGAGTCAGTTCCTAGGTGGGGGCCACAGAACTGGCTGGCAGGTCCAGGTGGGGCCATCTGGTTGTTAGAAATGAAAAACCTGGAAAGACATCAAAAAGGCCAATCTTAGGTTCACAATAGTGACATTAACCTTCAAGAGTAATTGGGGAAGTTGCAAATCTTATGACCTCCAGAATAATGGCTGGTAAGAATTCCAGTTCCTCTCATCTTGGCTTAGTGGCCTTTCATTTGTTTTACAAGAACGGTTTAGCCTTTTTGGGAAGGGCTATTTAAACAAACTATACACAAAAATCCTTCCCAAAGCTAGTTTGGCCTATGCCCAGGAATGAACAAGGACAGTTTAGAGGTTAGCAACAAGATGGGGTCAGTTAGGTCTGATATGTCACTCATAGTTTTCTCAGTTTATGATTTTTGCAAAAGCGGTTTCATAGGCACTTTATAAAAATGAACTCATGTCATCCAGCGACCCTATGAGGTAGGTACGGTTATGCTGGAGTTGACACGGAGGCTAAACTGCTTTCCCGTGGCCTCACAGTGGTAAGTGGTGAAACCATGGCTCCAGCCCTGGCAGTCTGGCTCCAGAGAATGTGTTTGGAACCACTATATTCTGCTGCTTGTCCTGGTTCCCCAGGTGGGAGGTTCAGATCCTCTGTTTATGACATCAAACACAGCTGGCCAGTGCTGGAACGGATGCCACCTGTTCTGTCTCTGAGACTTACCCTTTAACAAGTGTGTTCAGTGCGTTTAGAGCCTGGTGTGCAGTAGCATCGGGTGGCTTGCATCTTCTGGGATGCTCGAGACGGAAAACCTGTAAGTAGCTAACACTGGCTCCATCCGATTGTATAGTTAGGCTGAGTCCACTTTTATCCCTTGAGTGGTATGAAACTAAAACCCTTTTATTTCATTGATTTGAATATTTGAGTACCTAATGTGGCTCAGGGTAGGTACTTTCTAACCTTGAGGCAGTTGAGTAAATGAGCACAATAAACTGTTCAATGTGGAAGAGACAGAAGTGTTTCATTTGATAAGAACTAAAGGAGAGAGGGTTGAGGAAGGCTTTTTGTTTTTTGAGATGTAGTTTCACTTGTCACCCAGGCTGGAGTGCAATGGTGCGATCTCAGACCATTGCACCCACCACCTCCCGGGCTCAAGTGATTCTCCTGCCTCAGCCCCCCGAGTAGCTGCGACTATAGGCTCATGCCACCACACCTGGTTAATTTTTTTTAATAGAGACGGGGTTTCACCAGCTTTGCCAGGCTGGTCTTGAACTCCTGATGTCAGGTGATCTGTGAGGAAGGCTTAAATTAAGAAAGGACACGAGATGATAAAAGAAAGAAAAGGCTAGGCACAGTGGCTCATGCCTATAAGTCCAATACTTTGGGAGGCTGAGGCAGGAAGATAGCTCAGGAGTTCCAGACCAGCCTGGGCAACGTAGTGAGCCCCTGACTGTGTGTGTGTATGTGTGCGTAATATGTAAAAAACAGAGAAAAAGGAAGGGGAAAGGCACATAATGAACACTGTTTAGGCACAATGCTACATGTCTACACGGTGCCATTTAATCCTCAAAAATGACTGCTTTTCTTTTTACAGCTGAGGGTACAGGAGTGAACATTTTCACATGTAAGAGCAATGTGCTGTGGAAGCCTCTTCAGTAGGAGGTTGGCATGACTTGGGTTCCACCGATGCGGTCCCAAAGCAAACTGACTAGATGGGCAGACCAGCCACATACCCTGCTAGCTCCATGTGTGCCAGCATCCACCCTGTCTCTGCCAGGCCTTATCAGGATTATCAGGTTTGAAATTTTGCTAGGTCTCAGAAACAGTAAGAAAGTAGGCCAAGGATTTTAGAAAAATCAAAAATTTTAATCTTTACATTAACACGTCAAGACCCCCAATTGTCTTTGAAAAGGTTCCCCCCTCCCCCACCAAAATCTGTAGACCATAAGTCTTGGCCTACACTGACCTGATTTGTAAAACACCTTCCTCTGTGTACTTCTCCCTTCAGCCTCAGGCTCTTGGCTGATTGCTCACAACAGAAGCAGCCCGGCTTTCCTCTGGGAGTACCAATTTGAATTTGAAAGCCCACCAGCCCGTAAACCTAGAGTGTACTCGCCACTTCTGGGTCACAGAACTTCGTTCTCCCCAGCTCTCTAACCCAAGGACTCTACAGCCTTTGAGTCCCAACACCCAAGCTCTTCCTTGCAGAAGAGCTGAGATGCTAAGGAGACCATCTGGAGTGTCATAATAAGCCTTTGGGATTTGCTGAGCTCCCACACGCCTGTCTTCAACCACCTGGCCCACTTTCTTCAACCACATTCCACTTTGGAATGCATGTCTTTAAGGCACCAAGTGATCTTAAGAATGGGGTCTGTTTTTGAATCCAGCAATCCAAGTTCCTATCTCGGTGGGACCTCAAAAAAAAAAAAAAAAAAAAAAAAAAAAAAAAAAAAAGAAAAGGAAAAAAGAAAAAGGATTGGCTCAGCTTCTAATGTAAGGCCTGCCTTTTACACACCAGTTGTGTGTTAGTGACTGCTGGATGCCAGTCCACAGCCCCTCAAACAGCTCACAGTCCCAAACAGGGTGCTCCTACAGGTCCCAGGGTCCCGTTAGTGGAAGAAAGGGAGCTCCAGGAAGTCTTCCTCTAGCCTTCATGACAGGAAGTAGTTAATCCTCTGGGAAATAGACTTGCAGCCCTGGGAAGAAAAGAGTTGTTCCTCCTTGGGGACATACACCATCATCTGGGCAATTTCATCCAGTGTCTCTTCGGTATACAGGAGCTCCTGGCTCAGGAAGGCATCCCGTGCACACAGCCTCACGTGACGGTACTCCAGTGGCAGGAAGGGGATGAAGTAGTCAATCAGGTTTTCCTTCACAAGACGGCTGTGGCCAAAGCCATTGTCTGAAATCAAGACCAAAGTTACATGGAGTCTGATCTAGGACTGAACTTAGCTGGAATTTAGAGGGGGGTGGGGGGTTGCTGTTTGTTTCTTTTAAACAGGGGCTTGCTCAACCAGGCTGGAGTACAGTAGTGCGATCTGGGCTCCTTGCAGCCTCCATCTCCTGGGTTCAAGGGATCCTCCCATCTCAGCCTGTGAGTAACTGGGACCACAGGCGCACACCACACCTGGCTGTTTTTTGTATTTTTTGGAGAGAGGGATTCACCATGTTGGCCACGCTGGTCTAGATCTCCTGGACTCAAGTTAGCCGCCCGCCTCAGCCTTCCAAAGTGCTGGGACTACAGGTGTGAGCCACCACACCTGGCCCCAACTGGAGTTTTAAGGTGCCCCCAAACTGAAGGGCTGGGTGAGGTTGGATCTCTTCTCTCAACTCTAGGAGTGCTGTCTGCAGTATGTGTCAAGAACTCTACAGCTGTGTCTCCTTTAGGGAAAGTCTTGAAGTGAGACTCAGAGTCTCGGGCTTCAGAGACCACTGCGCCTGTTCTTGGGGCCCGTGCAAACTCCTCTTCCAAGGATTTCCAGAAAAGGAGCTCAGGCACTTTTCTTGTGCCTACCCAAGGTTGACAATGTGAGATGATTATGGGCTGCCCTCTGTGTTCCCAAGTACCCTATCTACCTCATAAACACACATTCCAACAAACAAATTAATTATCACCAGCTGTGGCTCTCACCAGAGGCATACTGAGTCACTTACTTACCTGTGGTCTCCACAATCTCTGCCTGGAGGTGGGGCTCCAGGTGTTCCATCGTAATTTCTTCCCGGGACCATCCAGCCTTGAGCAACTTTAGGACCACCTCATTGATTATATCGCCCCTGAGATTACTGAAAGAGACAAGAGCTTGTTAACCCATTTCTTTATATTTAGCTTCCATATATGTTATCTCACCGCTGAAACCAATGCATTGGTGCCTGGAAGAATAGAGGCTGAGGGGCATGGACCTCTCTCTTCCAGGAGACCTTGTCACAACCTCACAACCTAAAGGTCTGCACAGAAGGCACTGTACAGCTTTGCCACCCATTCTCTCTTGTTCCCTTTTGACGCACACTTAGTGAGACTGTGCTAAGTGCAGGGAGCGTGAAGATGGTAAGATGTGGTTCTTTACTTCTGTGTGGTCTGAGGGGCATCCGTGTATTCGGTTCCAGGACAGTGTGGCAAGCGCTAATGGAGGAGTGAGTGAGTTCTAAGGAGAAGGCTTCAGAGGGAGGACGAGGCTTCTGAGCAAATAAAGAACAATTAGTGACCATCAGACACTTGACAAGGAAGGGATGTGTCCAGGCCTGGGTGCGCCAGAGGAGCATAGGCATGAAAGGTTGGCCAAGGCTAGGGTAAGAAGGCCTTTATCTGCCATGTACATGGACTTGAGCTTATGGACCATGGAGAAGGGATGGAAAGGAGGATTTAAGAATTAGTTATGGAGGCACAATTGAAAAACCCTGTAACTGATAGATGTGAGAAGTGAAAGGAGGTCATGAAACAACAAGTGTTAGCCTCAAGCTGCTTGCTGTCCCCCTTAACAGAGGTGGAACATGGAAGGGTAGAGATGAAAGCCTGGTTTTACACACATTTGAGTGTTTTTTGCTTGCCTGTGATCTCTCTCAGGTTGTGCTATCACTGGGCAACTAGAATTAAGGGTGTGAAGCACAGAAAGCAATTTGGGTTAGAGACAGGAGGGAGAAAGGGGATAGGGAGAGAAGAGCAACCGTAGAGCCACCAGCAGGGAAGCTGGGACAGAGGTGGTGGAGACGTGGACCTCCTCCGTCCTCCCCAGCCCAGGCGTACTTCTCCCCCACCTCACTGAGCTGTCCTCCCTCCCTGGGCTGCAGCCTCTGCCAGCTCCACCAGCTCCTGAAACCGAGACCTTGCCCAGCTCCACATCAGTGCACTCGCACTTCCCTGTGCTTTCTCTCTCTTTGGAGACGGAGTCTCATTGTGTCACCCAGATTGGAGTACAGTGGTGTGATTTTGGTTCACTGCAGCCTCAACCTCCCCAGGCTCAGCTAATCCTCTCTCCTCAACCTCCTAAGTAGCTGAGACTGCAGGTACATGCCACTCTACCCAGATTTGTTTTTTTTTTTTTTTCTTGAGACGGAGTTTCACTCTTGTTGCCCAGGCTGGAGTGCAGTGGCATGATCTCAGCTCACAGCAGCCTCTGCCTCCTGGATTCAAGAGATTCTCCTGCCTCAGCCTCCCAAGTAGCTGGGATTACAGGCACATGCCACAATGCCCAGCTAATTTTTGTATTTTTAGTAGAGACAGGGTTTCACCATATTGGCCAGGCTGGTCTTGAACTCCTGCCCTCAGCTGATCTGCTCGCCTCAGCCTCCCAAAGTGCTGGGATGACAGGTGTGCCTGGCGCTATTTAAAAAATTTTTTTTTTGTAGAGACAAGGTCTCACTATGTTCCTCAGGCTGGTCTCGAACTCCTAGGCTCAAGTGATCCTCCTACCTCAGCCCCCCTTGCGTTTTCCTCAGGTCCAGTAGAATGAGGTAGGGTAAAGGACAGGGAAGGCAGGTGGCAGGTTAAGGAGTGGGGAACCAGTATCTCCATCTCTTCCCCTCCTTACCCGGCTCTGAAAGCCCCCATGACACCCACCAGTATATTAACTCACATCTTTGCTCATTTAGCCTGTGACCACACCCTGTTGTTCCATGGGGGCTCCTGGCAAGTGAGGGGAGCTGTGTGGTTCTCTCCCTCCCTGCCTCCGCCATTGGGTAGACGCTAAAGCTGGGCAGGCATCCTTCCCTGCCATGCAGGTAAGCCCGGACTGCCAAGTTGTCCAACTGGGTGCCTCATCGTAGGGGGAGGTGCCAATGTGTTTTTCACAACCAGAATTTACCAGGGGCTGAGAGCTCCCAGCTGGAGGAGCCCGGCAGGAACAAGCGCCATCTGCAGTGCTTGCTCAAGGTCAGTTGCTCAGCCAGGCTTCCCCTGAGAAGCAGCTCACAACACACTTCCACTTGCCGACACTGCCGCTGCTGCAGGAAGGCCTTCCAGGCACATACCTGTGCACACAGGAGCAGCCACCATTGCATAAGCTGAGGTAAGAGTCTGCTGCCAGGGTGTTGGCCCATCCTGCATTCCCCACAGGAGGCAGGTAGCACTGTTTACCTTGGCAGAGGCTGAAGGCAGGATCTGGGATGCTGTGAAACCCCACAGTGATACTCCCTCACCCCGGCCCAGGGGCACGGACTCCAGGGCCTTCTCCATCCTGTAAGGTGCTGATGCGGGTAAAGAGAGGTCCCATCACATGGGGCAGGAAGCTGGGCCTATTTATTTCTGTAACCCCAGTGCTTTGCACATATCAGGCACACGGCCTTTAGTAAATAAAGGGACATCTCTGCACATGTGTCTGCACCATCTCCACCCTTCTCAAGCTCTCCTGTTTTGTCTCACAGCCAAAGTCCCTTTTCTTCCACCACTTTACAGGCTTTAATCTCACCCACCGACCCATAACCTGGGGCCCCTCTCTATGCGCCACCCCACTCCAGCACCAGCATTCTACCTTCAGACAGACACTGTCTTCCCGGAGCACCTCAATTCCCTTCCACAGCCACCTGCGTCACTGGGAAGTCTGGAGGAGCCAGAAGGCACCTCTCTCAACCAGCCCTCTCCCCTGCCTCCAGCCCCTGCCAGGGCTGATCTCACCAGCCTTATCCCTAAGACCCCAAAGGAAGGGGACTTAAGGCCTCACCAGAGAGAACTGGTGGTTACTGGTAACAAACCCCATGCTAACTGCTCTGTCTTTCCTAAAGAACAGACATAGACTCGATCATCTCTTTGAGCCTTAGTGTCCTCATTTATAAAGTAAGGACTGGACCAATCTAAGCTGTCCTCTCGTTAGTCAACAGGCAGCCAACAGACACGGGGCTGGGGCGCAAGGCCCACGACTCCACGAATAATTTCTATTTGTGTAGTTCTATAATTTTTCAAAGTCCTTTCTTTCCTTTTCCTGACAACAGCACAAAGGAAACAGGCTTTAATTACCCTAGTCACTTTACAGCTCCCATGAGAACAGGGCAGCAGCTCCGATCGCAGAGTTCCACGTTCCTGTCCTGCCGCGTGAGCCCATTCTTGCAGCCTTCTATATTTGGCAGAAGTGGGCGAAGTAATGTTACTTTTCTGATGCCCAGCCACCGGCCCCGATTCCCTGGCCCGGATGAAGGACAGGCTCTGAGCACCACACTCAACTCCCTGCTTCAGCTCCCAACTCCTCTCTCCTGCCACCAGGGGGAGGCCAGCAAAACCACTGGCGACTCACTTCAAATGGCAGGTTTAGGATTTATTTCAGAATTAAACTGCTGCTCTTCCTACAGTGTGACTTGGTCACTCTAGCAGTTTGAATCAGCTGTGCTTTTCTCTCATGCCCTAGAATCCTTATTACAAGGAATGATTAATTGAAGCTCATTATAGAGATCAAGTCCAGAAACTCCAATATCAACACAGTGTCTCCTCCCAGCCATCGCCGGACACCTGAGAACCTCAGAGGTTGAGAGGCTGCCACCCTGGACAGCCTGGGGACAGACTATGTCAGCCCAGCCCTCGGCTGGAGGGGGGACCTCTGGCTCGTAAAGGCTGGGCACAGGCCCACACCAGAGCCACTAGAACCCAAGGCCACATCTTTTTAATCTGTCCTTTACATCCTTGTCAGTTACGCATCCTCCTCCCTGGAGCTCAAAGGCTCCTGGGAGACCTCCCCACCCTGCTGTGGCATGGAGGAGTCTGGCAGGTGGCTTTCCCGCAGGCCCCGCCCCATGCCGCCCACAATCACGTGGCCTCGGACAGTCCACCGAGGCTGGGTCACGGGGAGAAAGGCCAGGCGGCTGGTGAGGGGCTGGAGGGTGCTGCCGTCGGGTCGACGGCCAAAATACTACAAAGGCTAACATTTGCCTAGAGACTGCAAGGTCACCGGGTCGCATTAGGCAATCATGGCCCAGGTGAGGTTTTCCAAGCTGAGAAGTGGGTGGGAGAGTCTGTGTGGCTGGCACCACCTGAAGCCGGGAGACCCCTGACAGGGAAAGGGAGGAGGAAGACACTCAGTGCAAGGGAGATCCCTGTGGAAGCGAAAGGGAGGCCCGAGGCTGGGTCACCACGCTTCGCTCCGTGCCGTGGGAAGGACTGGCTTCCACATCAGTGGTTCAGAGGGTCCCCTGACTCCCCAACGCAGGGCTCAAGGGGAGAAACCACAGAGCACCCAGGTGACTCCTCTGGGCTCATACGCATGTTGCAGCCTCCACCTGACTCCCTATAACAGGAGGAGAGGTGAGCCCGGCTGCCTCCGAAGGTGGGAAATAAACAGTACAGAACGTGGGGATAAAAACTAATTAGAAGAATGTACTGTCCTCACCTCCTGGTTCTGGGCACTCAAATCAGGCAAGAGAGCTCTCTCTTAAAAGTCACCGTGGGTGCCCCGCTCCCCTCCCACTTCGCAATGCATTCTAAGTCTCCACAGCTTCACCTACAGACCAGGAAGGCTGCCTGCCACCACACAGAAATCCCAAGTCAGCAATGGTTTAAACCTGTTTCACTTTTTTTTTTTTTTTTTAAGAGACAGAGTCTCTCTCTCTTGTTGCCCAGGTTAGAGTGCAATGGCATGGTCTCAGCTCACTGCAACCTCTGCCTCCCAGGTTCAGGTGATTCTCCTGCCTCAGTCTCCCTAGTAGCTGGGATTACAGGCGCCTGCCACTACACCCAGCTAATTTTTGTATTTTTAGTAGAAACAGGCTGGTCTCGAACTCCTGACCTCAGGTGATCCACCCGCCTCAGCCTCCCAAAGTGCTGGGATTATAGGCGTGAGCCACCGCACCTGGCCCGTTTCAGTTCTTCTTGTGAATCCACACTGAAACAAGATGTGCCCTCCACAGCTCACCCCTTCACCCCTCCACACTCCCCAAGCTAGGATGAAAATCAGCATCTCCCCACCAACTTCCCCATCCTCACAAAGTGCACCCTGCAGCTTGGGAAAACCCCCCAGCAAGCAAGTGCTGGCCTGGGGAAGGCGAGGCCGGAGTGGAGCTGGGAAGAAAGCACTTGGTTTGACTCCCACCGAGGCTCGAGCTATTGTGAAGCCTTCGAATTGGGTCAACAAGGACCCAAACTCAACTTGTAACAGACGCAGGACTCCCCCAGTTGGAGCCTCTGCAAAAAGATGAGGTTGGACAAGTTATTTCTAAGTTGTCTTCCCGCAAAGACATGTCAACAAAAGCACAGGACCCACAGTGCCGTGATTCAGTGACTGGGTCCTGCGTGGCAGTGTCACAACTGAACTACAGGTACTCAGAGGAAGCATGGGTTTCTCTCAACCCGTATGCCCTGGATTTTAAGCCAGTGATGACTTCTCATGATTGGAGCAGAAATAGACCTTCCAAGGCTGGAGGAAGAAATGGCCGTGTTGGACTTGATGGGAGACTATGCCGTTCTCTAACCAGGCTTGCCTTGGGAATTTGTTTCAAAAAATCTGTCACCCAGATTGGAGTGCAGTGGCCCGATCTCAGCTCACTGCAACCCCCACCTCCTGGGTTCAAGCGATTCTCCCACCTCAGCCTCCCGAATATCTGGGACCACACATCCCCACGCCCAGCTAATTTTTGTACTTTTTGTAGAGAGAGGGTTTCGCTGTGTTGCCCAGGCTGGTCTTGAACTCCTGGACTCAAGGGACCCGGCCACCTTGGCCTCCCAAAGTGCTGGGATTACAGGCGTGAGCCATCACAGCTGGCTGCTGCTTTCTGTACCAGAGTTTGTGCTGTTTTTTCTTGAGGAAAAGGTTCTGAACCTGGGGGCGTGTGGAAGCCTCCACTGCCAGCTAGTATCTTCCCCTCCCCCAGCCCTCCTGACTACTGTTCCCCAGAACCCACCTGAGAAACAGAAAGATAGTCCATGTAAACTCGGCCCTGTGGCCCTCAGGGGCCTGGCGTTCTAAGTGTGGCTCAAGGACCTCCAGCAGCCCTGGGTGTAGCTTCTCGGCCTCATCGAAGATGAACAGGGTCTGGTGGCAGAGCTGCTGCGTCTCCCGGATCTGGCCCATCAGCTGCTCCTGCATGGGATATAGGGAGCAGCTGGGGAACTGGCGAATCCTTCCACCTCTGGCCTTGAGGGCGTGGTTTCCCCTGGGCATGTGCAATGGACTCCTTGGGGCTGGGTTTCACCCCCTCGAACCTATCAAATCCAAGCTCTGGGGGAAGGCCTAGGACATTTGCATCTGACCAGCTCTCAGGTGATTCTCAAGCACCCTGAGGGCTGAAAGCTAAACAAGGTGAAGCCAGCCTGGGGGCTAGGGAAGAGCCTAGAAAGGAGTGGGGAGAAGCCCCTCTGCCCTTGAGAAGGGGCCCCTGCTCCAGCCCTGCTTTCTCCTCTCCAGGACTAGGTCCCATCCCGGAGCTAATCATGTCCACACTGCCTGCAAAATTTCATTACTTCTACAACAAAAAAATCCAGGCGCAACTTCCCTGTTTCAGCTCGGGGTCTATTCCCAGGGGGTGGGTAGGAGTTGGGCTTTAACACAGGGGTGATGGGCAAGGAGAGGCTCCTGTGCCTAGAGGCAGTCACAGTCCCCTGCCCTGAACTCCCGGGTGCACAGCGCCCACGGGCACCCTGGCTGGGCCGAGATCTCAGGGGGGAAGCCTGCTGAAGGACTCACTGGGCCCAACCAACATCCGACTTCGCTCCTGCAAGGGGCTGCGGAGGGTTCTTTGTCCCAGGCAAGATAGTAAACCCTCAAGTGAAAAGATGGTTCTTTGCACTGTTCATCAAAATGGGCAGGGAATATATTATTCAGGCCCAGCTCCCACCCCAGAGCCCACACTCCTGTCTACTAGGTGCACCTGTGTTGGGGGAAGTGTGAGGTGTGGGGCTGTGCACATGCCAGTTTTCAGAGCGGGGAAGCTGGGGCTGCAGCAGTTTTGCCACAGTCTAAGCCAAATAGTTCTTCCTGGAGAGGCCAGCTCAGCCTGCCCCTGCCCTCCAAAGCCATATGGAAACTGCCAGGAGACGTGGGCAGTCTCTGTCCTCAGACACTGACATAATCTTCCCAGGTGAACACGTTCCAGATATCAACAGAAAGCCAAAGACAGGTGCAGTCATTGCTGTCAGGCTCTTCGGGTATGTTTTCAATACTACATGGCTGAATTAGTAGAAGAAACCCAAACGGGCAGAACAGCCAAGGAAATTTCTGTCCATCCACTTGCTGTTATATAATAAGCCGATACGGGAAGACGTGGAAAATCATATAAGATGGGATAGGCCTGTTTTTTTTTGAGACGGAGTCTCACTCTGTTGTGCAGTGGCGCGATCTCGGCTCACTGCAAGCTCCGCCTCCTGGGTTCACGCCATTCTCCTGCCTCAGCCTCCCCAGCAGCTGGGACTACAGGCGCCCGCCACCGCGCCCGGCTAATTTTTTGTATTTTTAGTAGAGACGGGGTTTCACCGTGTTAGCCAGGATGGTCTCGATCTTCTGACCTTGTGATCTGCCCACCTCAGCCTCCCAAAGTGTTGGGATTACAGGCGTGAGCCACTGCGCCCAGCCAATAGGCCTGTTTTTTAAAAAGGCAGGATATGCCACTCTCTGTCCAATGTAGTTACAATGACAGCCTGGGGAAACGTTCCGCACCAAAGGCAGCACATAAAATGCTAACTCTCCTTAGTTGACAAGGGTGTGCCCATGTGGACAGTCCGATAGTTTTTGCTTTTCTCTGTTCTACACTGCCTGTGACATTTCAATACTTCTACAACAAAAATCAACATGCAGCATCCCTGCTCAAGTGCAGCGTCCAGCCTCTCGAGTGTGACTATTCGGGGGACAGAGCAGTGGGGGGTGTTTGGAACGCCAGTCCCCACCAGATGCTCAGGGCCTCTGTGAGGAGTGGACCGAGTGAGTGGCTCTGTCACAGGTTCTGCCACCTGTCCCCACCTCCCCAGGCTTCTCCAGAGCCCACTTCCTTGCAAGGAAGGGCTGGCAGAAGGGTCTTCCTCCCAGCACAGAGGCCTCACCCCAGCCCTGGTCGGCCTCACCTTGTACAGGTCCACATATTTGCGGTGAGGAAAGTGGAACGTGGCGATGAACATCCTGACACAGTCACTCATCAGCCCATCCCGATACAGGTTCTCCACCAGCATCCGTGCCACAAAGTTCTTGCCTGTGCCAGACCAGCCGTGGAACGACAGAGCAAGGGCCTTGTCTGGCTGGGGCGTCTCTAAGTAGCCCCTCACTGTTCTTAGGACCAGCTGCCGGACCAAATGCTGGCCATGCAGCCGCACGTTCAGGTCCCACTCTAAGCCTAAGGACGAGAAAGAGGCAGTCACAGCAAAAGGCACACACAGGCGCATCCACCACAGCAGCCAACAGCCCAGAAACCAAGCAACTCTGAATCTCTCTTGGTTGGGATCAGTTACTCCTCCTGTTTGGCATAATAAGCAGACAGAAGGCAGACTTTGTAGCAGAAGGGATGCAAGGACTACTTTCTTTCCTTTTTCTTTTTTGAGAGGAAGTCTTGCTCTGTCACCCAGGCTAGAGTGCAGTGGTGCAATCTCAGCTCCGCCTCCCTGGTTCAAGCGATTCTCCTGCCTCAGTCTCCTGAATGGCTGGGATTACAGGTGCCCACCACCATGCCCGGCTAACTTTTGTATTTTTAGTAGAGATGGGGTTCACCGTGTTGGCTAGGCTGGTCTGGAACTCCTGACCTCGTGATCCGCCCGCCTCGTCCTCCCAAAGTGCTGGGATTACAGGCGTGAACCACCATGCCTGGCCTCAAGGACTACTTTTTGAAGAGTTTGGGAAATAAAGATGGGACTTAGGGAGACAGAGGAATCACCCTTCCTGAAGATCCTGCACATACCCAGAACAGTTGGCACAGACCTGTCTAGGGAGGAATCCTGTCCCCCATGTCCTGAGGCTGCTCCTATCCCTTGGTTTCAGGGCTCCCTGTTTCATGGAGAAGCTTGATTTTATTCATTCTCATTCAATTCAGCCGACACTTGTTGAGAGCCGCTCCAGTGTGCAAAGCCCTCTGCTAGGCCTAACTTCCTCTCAGACCTGAGGTTGTAGGATTTGGAGATGGGGCTACCAGGAGCCACAGTGGAGTGGAGGCAGGGAGGGTGTGCTGCCAGCTGTGGGTGAGCACTCCAAATCCAGGATCAATTGGTTGAACACCTCAAGCCAGCCCAGAGCGTGTATTCTGGAGCCTTGGGAGGTCAAGGTCTATGATAAAACGTTGAGGGTATCACACATTGCTCCAAAAGTAGTAGTGACATAGAAGAAAATTAACATTTGCTGTTTTCTCTGTATTCAGAACTAGGCTAAGTGTTTTACATTCAGTCTTCACAATTCTGCAAGGCAGGCATTATTATTCCCATTTAAAGCTGAAGAAACTGGCTGGGCAGGTGGCTCACGCCTGTAATCCCAGCACTTTGGGAGGCCGAGGTGGGTGGATCACCTGAGGTCAGGAGTTCGAGATCAGCCTGGTCAATGTGGCAAAACCCCATCTCTACTAAAAATACAAAAATGAGCCAAGCATGGTGGCGTGCGCCTATAATCCCAGCTACTTGGGAGGCTGAGGGAAGAGAATCGCTTGAACCTGGGAGGCGGAGGTTGCAGTGAGCCGAGATCACGCCACCGCACTCCAGCCTGGGTGACAGAGACTGACTTGGTCTCAAAATAAATAAATAAAAGAAATAAAATAAAATACAGCTGAGGAAATGGACACTTGGGAAGGACTCTGCCAGCAAGGAAGAGGCAAGACTAGGAATCCAGTGGAGGAGTCTCTGATTCCCCGGCCACAACAATTTGGATATCCAGGCCTTTGTCGAACAGGCATGTTGAGGGCAGAACGTAGTTGAGGGCAGAAAGTAACTCGCTAATTGCCACCTAGGGTCTTATCCAAGTCAGCAGTGATCCAAATTCAGACTTCCTGACCTGTATGTACTCCTATCTTCTGTCCTGAGCCAGACTGTGTCCCTAAAAACACTGTGTTATTGGCATTTTGGCCAATTAAGTGACCTAAATATCTAAGGTGGGCCTCATTTATGGAGACTGAAGGAGCTGGGATCAGAACTCTGGGTAAGAAATTGCTCCTGGGGAAAAGAGAGGAAGCTTTTGCAAATGTCTGAATAGGTTTCAGAACATGGGGCCAAAGATGACCTTGTGAGAGTGAAAATGCAAATCAACTGCAATATGCAAATCAAGTCACCCAAACTAATTAGAAAATACTGGTTGCCGGGTGCAGTGGCTCACACCTGTAATCCCAGCACTTTGGGAGGCCGAGGTGGGCAGATCACAAGGTCAGGAGTTCAAGACCAGCCCGGCCAACATGGTGAAACCACGTCTCTACTAAAACTACAGAAATTAGCCGGACGTGGTGGTGGGCACCTGTAATCCCAGCTACTCGGGAGGCTGAGGCAGGAAAATTGCTTGAACCCGGGAGGCAGAGGGTGCAGTAAGCTGAGATCGCACCACTGCACTCCAGTGTGGGTGCAAAGCAAGACTCTGTCTCAAAAAAAAAAAAAAAAAAAGAAAGGGACACTTGTAATCATAACCCAGAATTTCTGATCAGTTCTCTCACTGGATAGTTCCAGCCCCTCTGAGAGGTCCCTGTTTCTGTTTAGAGTGAAACAAGGTGCTCTGGGCCTGACTCTCCTAGAGATCAAAGGAGATGTTGGATTATGAGTTAATCCCTTTGAAACTCTTAGCACAGTGCCTGGTATGTATAACAGATATTAGGTATTCTCTTCTCCTTGGAAACGCTCTCAGGGATGCAGGAGGACATGGTGGGGGTAGCTGACAAATGAGCAGAGGAAAACCTGTTTAGACAGGGGACACACGGTGGTAATGATGGGCCTGTTCCCTCCTCCCAGTTTAGCTGAGTGTGATGTGTTCATGGCATTCCCATGGATCCTCAAGATGCACGAAACAGCTCAGTTTGCCTGGGCTGTTAAGCTAGAGGCTAAAAAGGGGCTTCCCTGACTCAAGCATTTGGTACTCCTTCAAAACCTCAGACTGTGGCAGTTCCTGCTTGTGGGGTGGTTGGACAGGATGACGAAAGGTCCCTTGCATCTAACCATTTCCCCTGGACTGCGTCCCCTCCCCACAGATCCCTAGTCCCTTGAAGCCATGCGAGGTCCAACCTGTAAAGTTGTTGGAGATTCTGCAATCCCCACCGGGGCAGCAGTCTTGGAAGCTGCAGTACCACGTGGTCAGGAGATCCAAGTACCGCTGGCCCAACAGGGGAAGGCGCCAGCCTGGAAAAGGAAGAGCTGTGAGACCGAGAGGAGACCATCCGGCGCCCGACAGTGATGCGGCAACGTTGCCACACAATTTGTCAGGGACAGAGCGACACCCAGAACTCAGATTCCAACTCCCAGCCCCAGCTCAGCCCACTGTCGGTCCTCAAGCCCTGCGTCCAAAAGCAGCAAGGGAGACGGCAGTCACCAGGCATGTCCACAGCGGACGTTCCCTAGAGCTGTCAAGAGCAGCACCTTCGAAAAACGCCAGGGTGGGCTGGGAGACGGCACAGGCGGTGCAAGCGAGTCTGGAAAGCGCGGGGATGAGGGGCGGCAGGGGACGGGCAGCCAGGCCGCAGGGGGCGGCACCGGGGATGCGAGTAGGGCCGGAGCGGTGATGGGGCTCCCTGCTCCGCGGAGGCTGCCCCCGCCTACAGCCGGTACCGGCGGCTGAGCGGAGCAGAACTGCGGGCCCTGACGTCGCCCGGGGCAGGAGCGAGGCGACCACAGCCGCGCCCGGATCGCACTCTGCTCCGCAGCGAACGGCGGGCCGCGGGGACGGGGTCTTACCCAGGGGCCTCGCGGCTGCCTCCTCGTCCTCGTCACAGTCGTCCGGCCACACCTGGCAGCTGAAGAGCGTCCAGTACCGCTTGGAGAGGGCGCCGGCCGCCCTGAGCTGCTCCTGCAGGCGCTGGAAGCCCGGCCAGGCCCAGGCCGAGCCCGGCTCGTCGGTTCCCTCCCACGGCCTGGAGGTGCCGCGGGGCTCAGGCGCGCCCGGAAGCAGCAGCAGCAGCAGCAGCAACAGGAGAAAGAGCCAAAGCTGGCGCCACGAGCCGCGAAGCATGGCCGGCCCCAAGCTGCGGGAGCCTCTGGCTGCCGGCCTAGCCAGGCTCCCTTAAGCCGGGGGCTGTCGGGCGGGGACCGCACTTCCGAGGCGGGAGTGAACCCGGGATTGGTGTTGCTCTGGCGACCGGCGGGCCGGGCTGAGTGCGCACTGGCAGCCTCCGTACACGTGACCCAGGCGGGAACCCGAAACCCTGGCGGGGGTCCTGAGAGGCAGTCCGGAGACTGACTTCAGGCAAGGTGCAACTAACTGGCTTCCTGGAAGCAGTTTATTCTGGGTCGTGATTGTGGTTGCAAAGGTGAAATCAGGCTTTGAAATGGCCACTGTCAATCACTCGGCTAGGACTTTCGGACGGACCTGGTGGCCGGCCCATCAGAGGCCTACCGAATAAGGACACTCCTGCTCTGCCTCGCGTTTGCAGATCAACTTCTCGCCAACCTGTTAGAGGAAGCCGGGAAACCGTCTCAGCCAGGAGCGTTAGGCAGGCCAGGAGAGTCAGCTGAGTGAAGAGGCCATGGAAAGAAGGGCGCAGCTGGGTGCCTGTCTGGCCGAGGTTGCCCTGGCTCCTCCGCAGAGGGAAATGAAACCGCAGCAAAACACCAGCAGGTTTCCACAGTTTGGGAGTCCACGAAAAGCAAGAGGAAGCTGATTGACGGGCCCCAGTCTGGAAGTGTTTGGATTTTGGAAACCCCCCGAGTCACGGGTAAATCATAAGGCGTCATGTCAATGTAATTATATCTCATAAAAAGGTGAAGTACTGTGTGCACTTTCTTGACTAGGTTTGCAACTTTCAAGTGCTGGGGCTGAGTAGCCCATCCGACACCACTGGCAAAAGACTACAGGGCCTCTTTCCCTCAGCGCTCTCTTCTCCATAGCGAGCAGCTTGGAACAAGGCTGTTAGATTTCAGAAGAGCTTAATGCATTGTTTAAAATCACCTGGCTTACTTCAGCCAATGGCCAAAAAGCCATCTTGTCTTAGGAGAAAACTGCTGTCTAGAGAGATCAGAGGACTTGGCTAATGTCGTATGTTTAGTGGCTTTGAGGTTGGGCCCTCCAGACAGTAAGGTGAATCCGAGCACCATGAATCACAAATGTCACAGGCAACTTGACTCATCTCTTCACCCCCGTCTCTTAGATCACACCCAGTGCCAGGTCTGCTCCATTCTCAGCAGCACACCAAATTTGCGCCCTTCATTCAAACAGCTACAGAAACTAGACAAGCACCTTTGCTAGGACAGGAGGTTGAGATGAAAAGTAAAATGTTCGTAGTGTCTCAGCCATCCGGTGTGATGTCAAAAACTTTTCAGAGAAGCAGCCATGGCACCAGCCCAGCACTGTGTACATTAAGCTTGTAGAGTCCACCAGAGACAATTAACAGCACATACACCACAGTGCTTACTGGAAAACCAAACAAATTAGGCCGGGTGCGGTGGCTTACGCTTGTAATCCTAGCACTTTAGAAGGCCGAGGAGGGCGGATCACCCGAAATCAGGAGTTCGAGACCAGCCTGGCCAACATGGCGAAACCCAGGCTCTACTAAAAATACAAAAATTAGCGGAGTGTGATGGCGCACATCTGTAATCCCCGCTACTCAGGAGGCTGAGGCAGGAGAATGGCTTGAATCCAGGGCGTGGAGGTTGCAGTGAGCCAAGATCGTGCCACTGCACTCCAGCCTGGGTGACAGCACAAGACTCCATCTCAAAAAAAAAAAAAATTAACTCAACAAATGTCGCTTGAGTCTGAATGGCAGTCTAGTATAGTGATTACCATTTTCTATTTGTGCAACCCTGTGTGTTACTGAACCGTCCCATGCCTGTTTCCTCACCTATAAAAAGGGATAATAAAATAGTCCCCTCATAGGGCTGCTGTGAAGATTAAATGAGCTCATTCAATGAGCACATCATCAACACTCAATATGTGGCCACTTTTATTTTTGTATCTACCCAGCCCTGGAGGAGGCTCTGGGTGGTCTACACAGGAGGTGGGGATGGCTTTAGTTAATACTGGTGAAGTTTATAAGTGAATTTATGGTGAAAAAATTAATAGTAACAATTGTTTATTAAAACAATCCAAGTTTTAAGATTTTGTGGAAACAATTATCTTTGCTTGGAACTTTCATGTAGGGCTTCCTCCTCATTTCTGAGATGTTCTGACTTGGATTTAGCATCCCATGGTAAATAAAGTAGGTTAGCTGGGAAGTTCTTCGACAACCGACTTGATTTCAAGACATTTTTATTATTTATTTATTTAGAGACGGAGTCCTGCTCTGTCACCCAGGCTGGAGTGCAGTGGTGCAATCTTGGCTCACTGCAAGCTCTGTCTCCCTGGTGCAAGCGATTCTTCTGCCTCAGCCTCCTGAGTAGCTGGGATTACAGGCGTTCAGCACCACGCCCCGCTAATTTTTTCTTTTTTTCCTGTATTTTTAGTGGAGACGGGGTTTTGCCATGTTGGCCAGGCTGGTGTTGAACTCCTGGCCTCAAGTGATCTGCCCGCCTCAGCCTCCCAAAGTGTTGGGATTACAGGCGTGAGCCACCACGCCCTGCTGACATTTTTCGCTATAAAAAAAAAAAAAAAATAGAAGTAAACAGTTTTTCACTAGTCAGTCCCGTGTAGAAACAATAAATCCAAACACCAGTTTCTAGACAAGTCTCTTGAGTATTTCAATAAATACTCCTTTTGGTCTCAGGGCTTGAAGGCTGTGCTCATTTTAAAGGTCTGGGAGCAGTATCGTGGATGATGGGGACATCTAGAGACTGTTGGGAAAACTACAGACAGCTATGATTCTTTAGCAAGCATTACGGTGCTACTCAAGAGTGGTTCCAGAACCCCAGCACTGGCATCACCCAGGAGAGCTTGACAGAAATGCAGAATCTCAGGCCTCAGACATACTGAATCAAAACCTGCACTTTTAAAGTCTTTCTGTGCAGGGAGCCGTGGCTCATGCCTGTAATCCCAGCACTTTCGGAGGCTGAGGCAGGAGGGTCGCTTGAAGCCAGAGTTTGAGACCAGCCTGGGCAATAAGGCTAGATCCCTTGTCTCTCTACCAAAAATAAAAATAAAAAATAAGCTGCATGTGGTGCTGCGCACCTGTAATCCTAGCTACTTGAGAGGCTGAGGGAGGAGGATTGCTTGAGCTCAGGAGTTTGAGACTGCCAATGAGCTATGATTGTGCCATTGTACTCCAGCCTGCAACGGAGCAAGAGTGTCAATCCAAAAAAAAAAAAAAAGCCTAAGGCCAAATTGGCACACAACACCTTTATTGATATCATCTGAGTATGACCTAGCCTTACAATAGACATCTTCCCAACCCCGCCGAAGGCAGTCAGAACCATCTGCCTTGGAAACACTCTGGATCAAAAGCACGTCTCGGCCGGGCACGGTGACTCATGCCTGTAATCCCAGCACTTTGGGAGGCTGAGGCACTTGAGGTCAAGCACTTGAGACCAATCAGCCTGACCAATATGGAGAAACCCCGTCTCTACTAAAAATACAAAAATTAGCCAGGCGTGGTGGCACGTGACTGTCATCCCAGCTACTTGGGAGGCCGAGGCAGGAGAATTGCTTGAACCTGGGAAGCAGAGGTTGCAGTGAGCTAAGACCGCGCCATTGCACTCCAGCCTGGGTGTTGGAGCGAGATTCGGTCTCAAAAACAACAAAACAAAAGCAAGTCTCCATATTTAAATAACCCTGCATGAGAAACAAACATTACAGGAATGTTTCCCAGCTCATCTATGTTCCTTTAACATCTATACAGCACTCCAGGTGGACTGAGAATGTCCTTAAGAGACAGGGCACACACACATTTCCTAGAACAATGAGAAACCCCTGAAGCAGTATTTCTGGTGACCCAGGTACTGAAAGTACAGGCCCAGAAGGCCCTGTATTCACTAAGCAAATAGTTCTGCATTTCCGGAGTCAGGGGTTCTATACACACCTCTTGTCAAGCCTGGCCTGGATCAATCTCCACTTTTTCAATGTAGGTCCTGCCTAATCCAGCCCCTCCTAATCCCCACCTCCATGATCCTCTCCTGTTTCTTATTCTCACTGCAATTAATTTATATAATTCCTGAGGAACTTGGTGCCTTGCAAGCAGTTTTTTTTTCTGCCAGGTCTAGACTGCAGGCTCTTTGAGGGAAAAAGACAGTCACTATCACGTCAGTAGTATACCACAGCTCACCGCACAATGGCCCAAAGATCTACTGACAACAGACCAAACATCTCACAAACTGTGATTTAATACCATTATTCCTTGGGGCTTATACCTTACAAAACCCTACCCATGGAAATCCAGTGGTTATGACCATTCCTATTTTACAAAATGAAGGCTGCTAAAAATCAGTCTCATAAGCAAACATACTAGGTAAAATTACCCAGTAACAGAGCCCCACACTCCCTGCTCCCAGCTACCTTTTTCAAGCTCTAATACCAGTTGTTCTGATATGCTTGAGAAGCAAATGAATCCTGAACTCTAGCCTGGAAAAGAATTTCTATGTGGTGAGTCAGTGAGATACACAGACCAGGCTCTACTAGCCTCCCACATGTTTTCACACACAAATGACAAAAACTATCACAAATATGCTGCAAATAAAACTTTTTTTTTTTGAGAGAGAGTTTCCCTCGTCGCCCAGGCTGAAGTGCAATGGCACGATCTTGGCTCACTGCAACCTCCGCTTCCCGGGTTCAAGCGATTCTCCTGCCTCAGCCTCTGAGTAGCTGGGATTATGGGCGCTTGCCATCACGCCCAGCTTTTTTTGTTGTTGTTGTTGAGACTGAGATTCGGTCTCAAAAACAACAAAACAAAAGCAAGTCTCCATATTTAAATAACCCTGCATGAGAAACAAACATTATAGGAATGTTTCTCAGCTCATCTGTTTCGCTCTTGTTGGAATCGCGCAATCTCAGCTCACCACAACCTCCACTTCCCGGGTTCAAGCAAGTCTCCTGCCTCGGCCTCCCGAGTAGCTGTGATTACAGGCATGCGCCACCATGCCCAGCTAATTCTGTATTTTTAGTAGAGAAGGGGTTTCACCACGTTGGCCGGGCTGGTCTCAAACTCCTGACCTCAGGTGACCCACAGGCCTCAGCCTCCAAAAGTGCTGGGATTAAAGACGTGAGCCACAGCGCCTGGCCCAATAAAAATCTTAAGAGCTTTGTTTAATTATCTGGTTGAGGTTTATGATGCTGGATTCCATCTGAAAAGTTAAAAATCTAGGTGTCCTAAGAAGTACTATTAGGGCAACTGGCCTTCTCTTCCTACCTTTTTTGTAGTATGCTGACAAGTGCTTCAGGATTCATAATCCTTTACCTCTAAGGAAGCTGCAAAAATGGAATTAACTATTAAATATATAAAAAGCACCTAAGAATGATCCCATGAAAAATTGTGGTACAGTTACAATCTAGTATGAACCGTTTGAAGACTGGTGAGGAAATCTGCAGGTCTAATCCACCAGGTACTATGAAACAATCCATGTGGAAGTTTAAGTGGTCACAAAAGATGTAATCTTCTTCTGTCCCCTAACAAAACAGGAAGGAAACTGAAATAGGAACCACTGGAAATATCCTGAAGGGAGAAAGAAGAGGAAAAGATCAGACATCATATTTATTAAAATCTTTATTCATTTTTTTTTCAGAATTGAAACCCATAGAACACATTAGAAATTTAGATGCATATCTGTCTTGTTTGGTATCTTACCAAGTACAATCTCTGTGCAACAGCTCTGAGAGGAAATCCTTGGCAGATCAAAAGACAGGGTAGTGGCTCCCACACTTTCCATTTAAGCAAATAAATTAGCTTCCGAGTAAGTTGTTCCCAGTTTCACCCAACATTTTGTGTTTATGAGAAACACCTTAGTTCCTAAAAACCTGTGGTAGTCCAGTACCCAGTCCCTCCTACCTTGTCACCACCCAGACTTGAGGAATTGAAGGGGAAAAAACTGGCCTTCCCCTGTAGAATGAGTTTCCCAAAGACAGGTTTGCCTGGCTCACTAGTAGGCCTGGCCTGTGCTGGCACACTAGAGCTGCTCAGTAGGTATTTGCTGATGAAGAGTCTTTATGTTAATTAGGGTCCACTCTCAGAGACTGAGAACCTTTCACTAGCTGCAAGTCCTTCAGCAATTTAAGTCAGTGTTCCCCTTTGTTAAAATAAATATGTTTTTCTTGCTAGAATACATATACGACTATATACATTACATATACCTTTACTCATGTTTCCTGAAGCTCAAACTCACAGGATGAGGCATATAAGATAGCTTACTGACGATGCTGTTTTATCATCATTGAGGTGTGGCCATTTACTGGTCAAAGAATACACGGGTGAAGAAGAAGAAAGGCTGAAGAAATATGGCGGATGGAAAGGGAAGGGAAGGCAAAAGCATTTTCTTTTTTTAGAAAAAAAAGATGGATTTCTTTGGAAGACAATGCTGGCTTTGGATGACATTGAAAAACTGCCATGTA